TTTTCAAAAACTTCATTGAAAAGTTTATCAAAATAACCCACCCACCTATGTTGAATATCTTTTTCTAAGAAAGTTACCTTTTGATTTTCATCTTTAATACACCTTAATTTTTTTAAATCTTTACTTTTTTTTGTTTAGCTAGTTTATACATATATTTTTCACCCTCTCTAGTATCTAATCTATTATAAAGATCACTAAAAACATAATTTTTAGTGTCACAAGTTATTCTCTTAGACTCTCTACGGGTCATTTTATATTTTTCTCGGTTATCTAAACTTTTACATTTAAACCAATTTTTATAATATAACTTCTTATATTTTATCTTTTTTTGCATATTTTTATTCCATCATCAACTAATTTTATTTATAAAAAAGTTTCTTATTAGTTCTCCAAGTACATCTTTTGACACTTCTTTAATAGCGTTTGTTACTTTATCCCACATAAAATTTTCTTCTTTAATGAAAAAGAAGATTGATTGTGGAGCTATTTGCATAATTTTTACTTTGACAGCACAACAAATACCAAATATCTTCACCAAAGAGCTTTTTAAACCTCGTTTGAGTTTCGTGTAAGCAGGTTGAGCATGATTGATATCTATGCTCCAACTTGAGAGTGTATCGGAATTTTAAAACTTTTTTCTTTTGGTATTTTCTATTTTTATTATTTCATATTTTTAAGCAGTTTCTACTTTTAGAATTATCTATTATTGGTAATTTCTATATCCTTTTTCTAGCATGGGGATTTTGTGGCTTACCTAAAATGATGGTCTTCCCTTATTATTTATCTTGTGATCGAGTCTTAGAAAATTGAAGAGGAATAATTATTTTTTTTCCTTCTCTCAAAAATTACAAAGAGAAATATCAAACTCAACAAAATTAATATGTGCCCTGATGTTTGTGAATTATGTGATAAAAATTGTTTGAATTTTCTTTCAATTTTCTCTATTAATTGGTCCTCTTTATGTTTTTTAAGGTATTTATGTAATTGTGGGATACATGTACTTAAGAAAGCTTTAAAAAAACCTTAACAAGTATTGTAGCAAAATAGAAGGGAGATGCTTCAGACATGTGTCTAATGGAGTCAACAGGCCAATAGAATCCAATTTACCTTCAGTGTCGTCTAAGCGCCACCATATGGGCGTCGAGGCGCTACCCAAGCGTCTGGCAACCCGAGTGCCTTGCGCCTTGGCACCAAGTATGCGGTGCCTAGGCATCCCCTTGAGAACCCTTATGTCACTTCATTCGGCGCCGCAGACCTATTGGAACCCAACGCTACCTCTTTACAAAATGAGCAAGACTCCGACACTCCAAGCAGAAACCCGGGCACCAACAAACCGAAATAGGGCACTACAATGGTTTCTGCCCGCGTGTAGTCTCTCTGGGCTACAAAAGGAAAATTTGTCTCAAATCAAGAGATCTTTCGCATATTTGAAGAAACAAATTCTTTAGTTTTCCTCTATGTGTCTCTATTAGAGAGTGAGAGTGAATCTGTAAGAGAGCTTGTGGGGGCTTACGAGAAACCTTTCGGAGGGTATCCGAGAGAGAATTGGTGATCGTTTGGTGGAAGAGGAATAGAGGACACAAAATCGCAAAGAGTACATTTTTGTGACTTTTTTTTCAAAAACAATTGCGTACTTTACTGGCTTTGATGAATAAAATGTTTATTTTGTTATTTCAAAGCATGAATTGCCACTAGTGTTTTCTCCTCGGTGAGTAAAATTCTAGGATGTTGATGGTGTTTTTGTGACTTGTACGAAACAATGATATAGTAGTATTTTATCTTTAAATCTTCATTTACATTTGATATGGTCAATTGAATGGTTCAAAACCATTGTGAAATTTGAATTTTCGGATAATTCTGATAAATTTTGAATTTTGGAATAATCCTTAGTTCACTAGTCTTTTCTCCTCTGATTTGGTGAGTAGAAATTCTAGGATGATGGTATTTCTGTGACTTGTATGAAACAATGATATCGTAGTATTTTACCCGTAAATCTTCATTTACATTTGATACGGTCAATTGAATAGTTAGAAATAATTATGAACTTTGAACTTTAGGATAAACCTTAGTGGAGCAACTAAGATAAAATTCATTAACTAGGAGAATAGGATTATTGCAAGTAGTTTAATGCTATGGTTTAAGGAAAAACTTCATCTTTCATATTTCATCAAATTTAGAGAACTAAACTGGTTGATTGTCCAAGTTTTTATGTTTCCATTAGAAGGGGCTAAGAAAAAAAAGTGGTTCCTGATAGTCACCATCAAATGTGTCGCTTTGTAACCCTACATTTTTCGATAATCAAGGGAGATACTTGAGCTTGCTAGATTCACCTCACATTTAAACTTGTATTTTCATTTTTGCAAAATTTAACTTAGAGACTTTAAAAATCACCAACAATCGAACATTCAAGCTAGACTCAAAACCAATATGCTAGAAATTTTTCATATTTTGGGAGTTCCCTAGTTCCTTATGGGATTATACACGAACTTTGTTTAGTATATTATTTGGACAGCAAGTATAGCACTTTGCAGCATTTAGTATGTATAATGCACATGTGCTCAAATAACCCAAAAAATGAGAATGTTAAGTGCACTAAGTCAAATGCCTACATGTGCTTAGATAAATTTGTTAAATGTATGGACATATCAAACAATATTGTGCAAATTAAAATAGTATAAGTTCAAATTTTCCCAACCCCTGGAACGGTGCAACTACAATAAAGAATTATAAAAAAACATTAAAATTTTGCAAAATCTTTTTTAAAATCAAAATTATTAACATTTCCATTGATATTCTCAAGCAGATCAGTGTGCTTGTACGGTGAGGTCGTAAATCCCATATTTTGACTACAATCCTCCACGTCCTATAAACAGGAGTCAATAAAAAACTGAGCAATGACAAATATCTATGAAAAGAAATTTAAAATAGGCACAATCGGATGAATAACTAACTTCAAATCCATGTTCTTAACATAATATAACATATTCGCATTATCATGAATTGGGAAACAAACGGCCCTTTACAAATCTCATAATCTTATCTTCTATTTATCAATGACTTTCAAAGCCTTTAAGAAAATATAGCATTGTTTAAAATGTAAACTCTTAGTGCTATACTTGTAAAGCATAAACCTAAGTTTAACTCTCAAAGAACCAAACCTCTACATAGAGAAGTAGAGTCCACAAAGTCATTAATGCAAAGAACTTTTAAATGAACTTACGTAACGCAGACCTACAAAAAGGCTAGCAAAGTTGATGAAGTTCAAAGAAACAAAATTTCAGTTGAATGCCCCTGTAATAGGCATGGTTCTTGCACATCATAATTGAGGGGTTTACTTTTAAATCGAAGCTCTCTGAGTTCTAACGTTCAAATACAAATGATTAGAGCATTCACCCCTTACAATGGATGTGGTAATTGCATAATTAAGCTCACAAACGCTTGTCTTCAAATACAAGGATTCATTCTTAAAATAAAATTTTTAAGTTATTTGTGCAAATATTTCAAACGGCTTCTCATCATGCTAACAGAAATCTCAATTTGATCAATGCTATCATCAAAATATCTCTAAAACCTAATGCAAATTATTTCAAACTAAAATCCAAATAAATGTGAAAAATTCAAAGATTTATCAAACATATAGACATCTAAAAGATATAAAACATCTCAAGACTAAAGCATGTATAAACATTTCATTTTTCATCACATTTCGTTTTTTTTTTTTTTTTTTTTTTTCAACGGCCTCATGTTTATTTGTCTTTTTTTTTCCTTTATTCAAATGTTGAATTACATTGGGCTCTGAGCAATTCCTCTGCATTTTAAGTATTGATGGAAATGCAATTGCATAGAAAGCATCATCAAATTATAAGAAAAAAAAATCTCCGTTTTATCCGGTGCAATAATTTGTCAAAAATAAATTTAATATTAATCTCAGCTTATAAAATACTAATATCATGTTGAGCATAGTTTTGTGATCACTGAAAAATATCTGATGTTGGTAAGAACGTAATATATATACTCTTTTTTTTTTTTTTTTTTGGTCAAATGACACAACAAAAAGGAACAATTATAATGGGTGACACAAAATGACATTATTAAATCAAATTATTATCGCCAGAGTTGATAAATTCCCCAAAAACTAAGCCCCCTAAGTGCTAAATTATAAAATCTGTTTGATGAGACCCAAAGACTTTATCAGCTAAGATCAATTTAAATTCTTCCCCTTAAAAAAACATCTGCCCCAAACTTATGAGATCCATTTGAATGGCGCGACTTGTGATTACTGAAAAATGAATCTCTGGTCAAGTTAAGTCAGTTGCCTTCACTGGCTAAATACACTTAGGTGCATGATAGCCCAGAACAACAAAACTATAGGATCTTGATCAAGCTCCTTAAAATTCCACCCATCATTTGCTCTATGCTAATGGAAATAAATTTTTACTTTTTTAAAACTAAATTGTCGTTATTACAAGCAGATAATTTAGCACATATGAACTAGCCTTAATCAAAAATTATATATCACTAGGATTGGAATGGATAATAAACCATATGGGCATGAAACTTTAGAAAATCTGAAATCATAACATGAAGTGCTTGCAAAACAAAGGCAAAATCTATGGATATTGTATTGTCAAAAATCTAATCTAAGAAATTGGCACAAAACCACAAACACTCTTAGAAGAGCAAAACGTGAATTTAGGAGCCCGGACTTACCAGTGTGTCTTCTACTCTATATGTACATGCCAAATATAAATAAATTTATTTTCCTTGCCATATCTTTAATAGCCGTTAGCTCCAAGTCTCTAATATAGTCATTTCTTAATCTATTCTTCTTAGCTCTATCACCTATCCCATCTTATGCATTAGCATTTTTGCCTCTTAAACACTTTTTTCTTTTAAATGCTAAATAAAATTGCCATTTTTTTTGGAACACAAACTAAAAATTTTGAAAAATGTTGCCAATATATCTTAACCAATTTGAAGAAGCGAAGTCAAATACACACCTTTGTCATGCAAGCCAGCAACAGTTACTTTATTCTTAACCTGGATAAAGAGAAGCAAGTTATAAAGATTCCATGAAAATAAATGGTGTACTTAGAGAAAGTACTCAATATTAGTAAACAAAATAATCAACAAAGCTGGATTTTCTTAAAGACCAATGATGACAGTGCCAATTGAACTTTGAGTGTTGGTAGGATTCCCCAATTGACATGCTATAACACATGAGAAACCATGAGATTCAAACACAAAGCAATATAAAAAATGGAAAATTACATACACACCACTCAATTCCTATGTACTCACATATCCAAAACCTAAACTTCAATTTTTACATAAACTCCGCCTGACCTAAGCATGAAAAGGTGTATTTCACATTTTTAAAGTTAAAATGATGGTATCATTTATGTGATATGAAAGATTTGGGTGGTATAATTGTAAGATTCAAAGTTTAAGTGTTGGATATGTAAATACATAAGAATTTAGTGGTGTGTATATAAATGCCCTTAGAAAATATGCTAGCTACGGGCAAATGGGAACAAAAGAAGAAATGCTTCTTGAGAAGAAACTATATGAGATTCACCTGAAACATAAATTAATGCATTCTACTATACATTGCATTAAATGATTGGAAGAGGATTTTCTGAAAGCAAGCCAATCTTAAGGGGGGATTTAAAAAACAATATAAATTCTTTTGTTTTCTTCCAAAAACAACATATAAAACAATCACATATGTAATAAATACAATTAGGAATACATGAACCAAGCAATACAAACTAAAGGGAGCATTTCCAAAATATAAAACAATAGAAGAAAAAACAAACTGAAGATAGCCAAGATCCACCATCATGATTTTCCCTAAACAAAAAAAAAAGAATAGAATTCTTACAGAGCAACTTGAAGGGAAAGGTTTGTAGATTTCTATGTATTGCTGGCCATGCAATAGTAGTTTAGGGTCAAAACTAGAAAAAACAGATAACAGTAAATGTTTTAGAAAGCAAAATATTTACATGCCTTAATTATATAAGATGAATTTGGAGGGATATACATTGTATAGAAATCGTTCCAAATTTTAATGTACTTACTCCAGCCCAGGAATATCTGTGAGAATGAAACTTTTATTGTTTTTAAATTGAAACAAAGCAGCAAAAGTAGGCAAAACCTGCAAAACATGTAATCAACGCATTAGAAATGGACAGCACCATAAAGCTATAATTCGTCTTCAGAATAAATAGCTCATTTCACGAACAAGATTGGCTTCAAAGTCCACAAACTACAATTACAATAAATATCCATAACATAGAATAACCAGTTATCAAGTGAAGGGATTCAGCGAAACAGGAAATAGTTGATAGTTGTTGGAAGAAGAAATAGTAAAGTGCCAAAATAGTCCTCTGACAATTTATGAGAGGTCATTGTAGGCCTAGAGTCTACACGTGTCAAGTTTGTCTATATACTCTTTTAATATGAGCTGAAATGATCCCCACGAGTGACTTTCAGCTCCTATTAAAAAAGCCTGACAGTTATATAGACTCTGGGACTGAAATAGCTCACTAAAAAAAAATCATCAAAAATAAGAGGAAAAACCGGCTGATTTTTCCAACCGGTTTTTCCAAGCTAAGTGGTCAGAATCAGCTTAGCGGTTGAAGTATCGGTTGAATTTTCAGTCAATTAAATGAAACGGCTGAAAAACCAATTGGCGTTTTGAGTCAGTTCCTAAATCATTTATAATTGGCTGATTAAGCAACTAAATTTAGTCGAAAAAAGTTGTCAACTAAAATTTCAGTCTGTAAGCCACCGAAAAGCTTAATTTAATTGAACCAACTTATTGAAACCCTCATTTTTCTTTCCTTGCCTTCATTTTTTCCTCTCTCGGTGACTCGACGAAGTTCACTTATCTCGGCATGTGACGATGTTTGGCTCCGGAAAGAACCGAAGGTAACCCTCGTATTTCTCCCCCTTCCTTCCCTTCTCCTTCTTTGTTGCTTTTGTTGCTTGAGGTATGTTGATCGGCGGTGTTATCTCGCACGGGATTTCTTGCTCAAATCTTGAGAATACCGCGCAATTTCTATGTATTTACATATGTAAAACATAAAGTTCAATTTTTATTCTTTTTAGGAAATTTATAACCATCACACACTTCTTATGCATTTACATATCTCACGCCTAAACTTCCCTATTTACATGCTTAACGCATTGGTGCTTTAAACATATTCATGAAAAAGTGTATTTCATTTTGAAAAGGGGGTAATATTGCTATCTTTGGTGTGATATTAAAAATTTGAGTGCAATGTGCGTAAATATGAAAGTTTAGGTATGAGATAAGTAGTTACATAATAGTATTATTTTTAGTGTGATATTAAGTATTTCAGTGTTATGTGTGTTTTAGGTGTGAGATATGAAAATACATAGGAATCATACTTTAGATGTACAAAGAGGATAGCACAAAAAGGGTTTTTTTTTTTTTTGTTTAAGGTTAAGAAGATTTGCATACATATCACTCAATTCCAAAGAATTTACATATCTAACAACTAAACTTCAATTTTTACAGTCAAGTCATCCTAGTTATGCATGAGAAATTGCATCGATTTTAAAAGTTAAAATGTTGGTATTTTTTATGTGATATGAATGTTGATATTTTTTAGTGGAATTTGATTTCTTGAGATCTTGGGTCAAGTAAATTGGGGCTCAAGATGGGCTAGGTTGGGTCACCTAGAAATTCAAATTTCTTCAGAAAGGTGGAATCAGTTGGTTTCATGTTTCAAAGCGGTTAGAGTAATTGCTTGACAAGCAAGGGTCAGCCTCTTATTTTAATGAGAGTAAAATTAGGTGGTTGCTTAGATGGTAAAATTTTTTTTTACTCCTCTTAGGTTGCTCCCTGACTTGGACCAATTAAATTATTTTTTCATATTTATTTATCTATATTATTTTAAAATGTGACAAAGTTCAACCATTTTTTAGTAAGACGTATAAGAATTAGAAGTTGTTTGAGATAGTACTAAAAGTGCTATATTCGTCTGATTATCAAAATCTTAAATATACGACAAGATATTTGTGCTCGTTAAACATTGAAGACGAGAGTTTTATAGTGAGAAAATTGAAGAAGAGTACATAAAATGGTTCAAATTATGTGTAAGTTCTACAAATTCAGCATATTACTTGTACGTATGTTTATGATTTTAATATGTTCACAAATGAAATCATAAAGTTACGGATCAGGACTTAATAGATCTTGCTTTGAAACCTATGTGCATCATAAATATGTGGCTAATATTTGATATAAATGGCTACAAATTTCACAAGAGTTTCTAATTCAAAAGAAAAAATACAAATAATTATGGTGTGTGTTACAGAAAATACTATTTCGTAGTGAGATAAACTAATTTGGGATTCTCAAAAAATAATCTAGTTATAATATCATGACTCTATTGAACGCAATTTATTTATATTCAAGTGTAACTGGTTTAATCGTGTTTTTAATCAAAGAACAATAATATTCAAGTCATAAGACATCACTGGAGCTAGAACAGAAGAGATGTCAAATTTGATCATTTGTTCTAACAAGTCAAACCAATCGTATATATTACCTTAGATACTCTGGTAGAGAAAAAGACAATTTTGATTGGGCAATTAGATACCTAGAGTGACTATCAAGATCCAAAATAATGTTGAACCTGCTAAACGAGAAAATTTTAAATTCAACATCTACTCACTCATTCAATGAAAATTAGGATGGAATCAGATGTGTGCATAGGCTTAATTTTTTTTTCTCTTTTTTTTTTTACTTCTTGTAGTTTTATATTTTATATTTTGTATTGTTTGTTCTGATTTCTACTATTTATTTTAGTTGCTTCCTGCTTTTACTTCTATTATTTTTTATTTTTGCTTCAGTTATTTTCTATTTTACTTCTATTATTCTATGCTTATAATTATTATAATCAAAATATTTCTTCTTATTATATATAGCTCCATTGATAGTGATGAGCAATGTCCTCGCAGAACAGCTGTCTCTAGCTTCTTCCGAAGGACTAGGACGGTCACCGCTATGACCACCATGTCGATGTCTGTCAGGCAATTGCTCCACCACCGATGACATAAGCCTTCCACACTCTTACAGCTCCCACCACACTAGCACCTCCGCCCACTTTTGAGGCAGGCCTTTTTACTGCTATCTAACCTGGTGTGATGGGCACCTCATGACGCACGTACATCAAGCTAAATTGAGATATATGAGTAATTTAAATTATAATAATTGAAATTGTTTTTCTATTATATTATATAGTTGCTAATTTTTTTGCAAGTTTTAACCTTTCAAGCAGCCAGTCCACAGGATTATGGGGATCAAAAAGAGTAGGTATGAAGCTCTGTATCTACTCTGAAAGAAGATCCTAATCAAAGTTCGGGACATCTGGTTTAGGGAGTTCAAAGTAAACCTAAAAAATTTTGAATTAGAATTATAACCATAAATTATTTTTGTATAATAACAAGTATTGTTTGATTTTTATTTTGCATAAGAACTTTTGGTGGCAAGCTCAACATCATGACTAGATCCGACGAAACTTTGAGATCCAAGGGATCACTCACTTGCAAAATTTGTTTACCAATATCCATAAAAAGGAGCAGAGTCCCTCTGGATAGAAGAGGAAGTTTGGGGTTGTGCAGAGTATGGGCATCCCCTGATTATATTAGGAAGAGGCAAACAATGCAGCAGAATCGAGCTTCAAATTGTGGAGGCATGGGTACCTCCTTACACAACGGAGCCTCAATCCCCCATACCAACTATAAGAGAAGGATGATAAGATTTATTCAAGTTAAACTGATATATGTAAATATTTTTTGCATAAAATTTTTATATATTAATAGAGGCAAATGCATGAATTGGAGCCCAGTGCCGCTGAGTTACACGCCCGCACACATCAACATCAGATGAATTAGCAGTGGGTCAACGATAAATCTTAGCATGTCCACATAAGTTTAATATTTTGTTTATATATGTGAAATTTATTTACAATCTTATTTCGATATTAATTACCTTTTACAATTTTTTGTAGGATATATGTGTGTGAAGGATGCCTGGAGTCAAAGCCCAAACAGACTTGGTAGCTCTAGTAATCATTCTAACCATTCAGAGTTTAAGATATAGAGCAAAGTTGTTGGGAGGAGAAAGAATGGGAGGGTCTATGACCTTGGCTCACAAGAATTTGCTTACGAGGCAAAGCACTCTATCTCCAATGTGAGGTCATCTTCAGTTGATGAAAAAATCATCAAGCGTGTGATTGCAATCACCCATAAGTTGCAGAGCCACTTCTCTGTTTGTCTGCCATATAAAGCATAGGTGGATGTCCTCGATGATGGAGATGGCGGATACCTAGATGGATGCAAAGGTTAAGAGGCTCAAGGCCAGGATTGACCCACTGCAACGCAATGCACGTGTGCGTGGCAAGCAACCTATAACATAGGAGAACAACCAGGACAAGTTATTTTTTATTTTTTGTGCATTTAGAGCTCGATTTATACTTTTTAAATTTATTCTACATATACTCTTTCATTTGATGATTTACAAAAATTTATTGTCATGCTTATTATAATTTCATCAATTGTTGTTGTCTCTAAGTGTTTTTTTATACCATTTTGAGATGTTATGGATATGATCGTTATTCATTTCCTTTTGTGATTGTAGGTGTGTAAAACTTGCTTGGCTAGTATAGTTATTTATTTTCGTTTGTGAATATAGATGTGTAAAATTTGCTTGGCTTGGCAAGCGACCTTAACTGAGGAGTATGATAACTATCAAGACGAGTAATTTTTTTATTTTTCGTGCATTTAGAGCTTGATTTATACTTTTATATCTATTTTTCATATACTCTAGCATTGGATGATTTATTGAAATTTATTGTCATGCTTATTATCATTTCATTCATTGTTGTTATCTCTGAGTGTTATTTTTACATAATTTTGAGATGGTATGGATATGATCGTTATTTATTTCCTTTTGTGATTGTAGGTGTGTAAAATTTGCTTTGCTAGGATCCCCATTTTTTTTGTATAATTTTCCAGCGGATCACCGGGTAATATTTCAACCGATAATCAAAGAACAACAAAAATTTCAATTGATACTAGATGGTGGGAATGTTAGCCACTAAGGGTTCGTTTGGCGCGACGAAAGAGCCGTGGCGTGGTACCGCGCCGCCCTTTTCTGTAGTTTGGGGCAGTAGTACCGCCGCGGCCTGCCGTGATTTACCCCAAACACGGAATGCTCCTCCTCGCCGACGGCCCAGCTTTACCATTCGGCTTTTAACCGTCGTGCCCTTACCTTGCCCTAATCAAAACATTCTGCCCCGTTTCCTCCTCTTCTCCCGTGTTCCCGATTGCAGCGCGAGGTTTCAGTCATGAAGGCGATGGTTTTGGACGAGAGAGCGGAGCAACATGCGATGGTTTCAGAGAGAGAGGAGTGATGAGGGTTCCCGGTTAATATGAGCATGAGAGATTTGTGCAAGACTACTGGTCTTTATTCCTTGCTGATTACACATATCCCCCTCTTCCCAAAAATTGCCGTTTTTCCCCTCTGAAGCAAGCATCTTAAGATATAAAATTTTCCTAAAGAAAATTTAAGATGTGATCACAAAAAAAAATATAACGAAATTCAAACTCCAACTTTCAATTTAAGATAGATTTGTTTCTTTTAATGGAAATCAAAGACAAAGATCTCATTATAAATGATAATTTAATGATTGTCCGAAGCTTAAATTGTATGAGAAATTTGGAATCAATAGAGCCATACAAAAATTAAGATTCACATAGCAATAAGAAAACTCAGATTGTAGCAAATTTAACTAGATCTCAATCACACTCACAAGCAAATAAAAAGTTAAACAGATGGAAAGAAAGATACAAATCATTAAATAATAATCTTGGTCTTCTTTAAATTTGTAGTTACATCCAGCACAGAAATTTGAGAGAAAATTGAAATTTCATCTAGCAATACACTAAATGTTTACATGGCTGGAGGGTTCCATTAATCAATAATCATAAAATACCTAAAATTAATAATTTGTCATAATTCAAAAATCGGTCTAAGGCGACATAATTAACTCAAGAAAGTATGATTCCTAGAAAAAACAACAAGCATAACAGACAACAAGGATGACTCCACCTATGGTGGCCAAAACAACAAATGATGGTTTTCGCTACAATTTCAAGAATAGCTGTATATGATAATTAAGTAATTAGAAAAGAAATCAGTAATCCTTTCACCATTAAGCAACAACCAATGAATTTAGTAAAACTGTTGGATTTAACTTCAATCTGTAACTTTTACGGATTTAAAGGATTTAGTAAAACTGTTGATAGAGAGTTTTTCGGATTTAACTCATTCATGCTTTAGTAAATCCAGATTTATGGGATTTACTAAATCGTAATAACTTAAATCTCTTCTGTTGCTAGACAGCACCATACTGATTTAACAAACAGAAAATTGCATCAATAACCTCTAGGAAATCAGAAAAATGAATTATCTGATCATAAATAATCTTTCACCTCTGTAAGATCCCCTCCTTAGTATCACTGTTTCTTCCCCATACACCCACATAAAACCACTCCTAATCATACAGTAAAGTAAAAAAAGAAGGATCCATACTTCAATAAATTGCTGACCATCCTGATGGAAAACGTACTTAAGCTCCTTCTCGTCGACCGCATCTCTTCCACAAGCTCCAACGCCTAGAGCATATATAGCCGCATCTCTGTCCCCGATTCCCAACCAAACGCAACAAAAGAAAATTTATACGAAAAAAATGGAGGAAACACGATCGCTGAAGAGAACTAACCTTTCACTGTAGGAGAACGTCACCTGTATAGAAGGAATTTAGCCACCGTGTTTTTTCGAACCTATGATAGTATGGAGAGGGAAAAGATGGAGCACCTCGGGAAATTTGTGGGAGATTACGATCTCAGGATCGATGCGAGCCGCAGAGCTTGAACTCGCCATGGCTATGGGTGATGCTGAATCCCTAGGTGCCAGTGCAAGGTGCACAGAAGAACGACAGCAGACCTCAACGGAAAATTAAAATGAAATTTGGAGAAATGAACAAAGTAATTACATACATAGCACCCAATACCCGTATTTACGTAAGTTATTTTTGAGGTGTGACCAATTTTCAATAAAATACCTAAAAGCCCTAATTTTCTATTTCTCTATTTAATCAAAATAATTATAAAAAATAAAATATAAATTATAAAAATATGGAATTAAATGTAATTAACTTTGCTGAGTTCATTGTGATCAGAGGAGTCAAGGAAAAATAAGAATTAATTTTAAATTTAAAAATATATTTTTTCAATTATTTATGTATTTAAATGAACTAAAAATTATAAAAATTAAAAATATATTTCAAAAAATCATTAAAATTTATCTTGATTGGTCCTCTGACCTTGCAACATTGTAAAATTTTCATAAGGACAAAGGATATATTTTGGAGGATTAAGTTAATTATCAATGAATGTCATAATTATTGGTTTAAATAATTACAAAAAATAAATAAACATCATAAAAATATAATTTTTCCTCTTTTGTATTAAATAGCTCATGAGTAAGGGGTTAGCAAAGTTTCATGACCATTTGAATTCAAATATAAGTGATGAGTATAAACCCTATAGGTATAATGGTAATTTTAGAATTTTACACTTTAATTAATCTCTTAGGTTAAATCAGAGGGAAAATGGGTAAAATTTGATGATTAATCCACTAAGATGATTGAAACACAATGGTAGCTTAAAGTAGCAACTCAAATTTTTTTCTAAAAGGGTAAAATTGTAATTATTTAAGTTGCTGGTTTTGTGAAGAAAGAATGAATTTGGATGATCCAAGAGTGAGGGTTATGAGTTGGGAGATCATTAATTCACTAATATGGAACCCCCAATCAATGGTTAAGCATAATTAAACCTTTCAATAAGGATTAACCATATTTTATAAGACTTTTTCAAAATTACAAGTTTACCCCTAAGAATTTAAAAGCTTGAGAGTTAATTAGGTTTGATTTAATATCACTTGAAAATTATTAAATAAGGAAACATATGTGATGATAAACATCTTAAAATACTACAAGCTCAAGTCCCAATTAAAAGGGAAGAGTGTAAAATTCTCTAATGGTCAAACTTACCCCTAGGGGTGCTTACTTATAATTCTTAACTGAACATTAAAAGGGCATGTATTTGTCTTTATCATGGGCTAATTAAGACATCAACGCCACACTGAGCATAGTTAAAACATGGAAGATTCCTAACATAATTAGGTTGATCGACTCAACAACTTAACAAGTTCAAATGAACTTGAAATGGTCCAGGAGATTCTAAGGTTGTTTTGGGTCACTCCGTGAGCACCTTTGTAAAATTTTGGACATTTTATCAGACATTTGGACTTATTGCAATTTATTGAGGAATATCATCCTTAAAACATAAAGATCCACCAAGATATGATTCAAAATCCTATCAAATCATTAGTGAGAATTATCCTACCACCACTTAATCTACAGTAAACTAAATGTTCAAGGGTATGAGTTTTAGATATGATATTCAAATCGTTTGGGCAATTGTGGATATTTAAGATACAGCCACATATAGATCATCAGACTGGAGTAAATTGGAGGTTTTGGTGGCACGGACGGTGATGAGAAATCTATCTGGAGAAAAATTCAGGATGACAGAATAGTATTGTATCTCCTCACCTGATAACATTATGAGGGCACATGATTGACACTATTTTTCACTAACACTTGACAAGTGATAACCCCTGCTTTTTAAGGTTGCCTATTGTTTTGTCCTGATAGTGTGATTGATTTGTGGACAGTCAAATTTATAAACTATACAAATACAACGACAAGTCAAATACATTTCTTGTGAAACTAATATTTTGACAGCTAAGTAAAGATCAATGTTACGTATATGCATGACAAACAATAAATTTTGAGTGTTACATTCTAAATGTCCACTTATCAATCACTTGGACTGAGACTAAGGATTGCCCTCATTTGATCATCTTGCTGGAAATCTTTAGTCGATGTCGGATTTTATACAAACAGATTACCATTAGTTGCCTACAAAGTCCTCTGCGAATGATGATTCTGAGTCCACCACACAATTTGAAATTCTTACACTCACCCCTGATTCTATATATGGGTTTATTTAATTTAATTCAATCACTTGTGTTCCCTCGAATTTTATTTAAATATTTAAATGTTATGTTTATAATGTTAACCTTTCAGCGGCAGCAACGAAGGTGACAGGCACGCGTTGTCATTTTTTTTGTCTTTTTACTGCATTTTTCTTTTCTTTAATGTACTTTATATCATGTTTTACTTATGCATGATTTAATATATTTGTAAGGACCAATATGGTAGATAACAGTAGGACTCCCTTTTAAGGGGAATATTACAGCAAGCCTTGAGACCCAACTATAATTACAAGTTCAATCATAAACCTCAAACTCATTGCTATCACAAGCAAAGAGCTTGAAGATAGTTGTCTGGGAAGCGGGATGAGGACGCAAGTGAACCAACAATGACTTCAGATGACGATCAATACTTAATAATGAAGCGGATATACCTTAACTAATTTTCATAGTATTGAATAACGTAAACCCTTAGGATTTTGAGGTTATTCGTATTGTACAATGTAAATCCTCACACTTTCTTTAGGATTTTGTATAATCATGGTGTGCAACTTAAGTCCTAACTCTTTTAAGATTCAAAGGTTGTTTGTTTGGTATGATATAAATTTTCTCATCTTCATAGGTCATTTGCACAATCAGATATTGTGCAAGTGTAAGTCCTGAATTTTAAATAAATGGCAGGAGTAAACAGTGAGTAACTTCACTTCCAAGATATAAAGCAAGATGATATGATAGCTTAGGAAGTCATTGAGGCCCGCCTCAAGTTCTGTGACATCCCCTAATTTTCGCTCCTTTAACTACTAGAATAACTGTTCATATTTGATCTTTTCCCCACTTGAATTTTTCTATAAGCGACCGTGGACACTAAACTTTAAATTCTTTAAACAGAACATGATCTTAATTGAGAGTTTTCTTTGGTGATTTCAATTACCTAAGATGTAATTAACATAAGGGCTTAACTTTATAGTGAACTAAGAACCCAAGTAAAATAAATCATATCTAATCTATAAATATTAGATAGGGGAACTGTTCGTCACATATATTGCTTTGTTGACCAAACGTATTTCATAAATTTCTTAGTTTAAATGGTTGAGCCAACTAACAAGCGATATGTTTATCTTTCGGGATGATGTATTACTCGTGGTATTAACTATTTAAACTAATAGACATATGAGATATCTTTATTCTCATTTTCTAAAATTAAAAGGTAATTTAAAAAAGCCAAAATTATATATCTATTAAATTAAAAAAAATAATTTAAAAGTTATTTTTTTTCTAAAAGTTGGCCAACACTAGTCACGATAGGTAACTACCCTCTATTTGACCACATTCGAATTGATAAAGCTGGAAACCCAAAATTTGCTTGACCTTAGTTGTAATGATAAAAGTGGGAGGAGGCTCGATCATCTCGTATGATCTCAAGTCTCCTATTATGTTCTCTCGTTAAGAACCCGATTGTGAGTCAGACTTGTTCCCATGGAGAAGGAACACTCATCACCCTAGTCAGGTGGCTAGAAAACACAAAAGAACTTAAACAAGGTGACATCTAGCTAGCCAGTTGAGATGCACTCAGCACTGAATCGATTATAAGGTCATGTGGTTCTGGAGGTACTCAACCTTAATGACATGCTGCTAGGGATGGCCAAAACAAAATATAATAGCTAAAGACCCAGCCCAAAATGACACATGGTTTGAGAGGTATTAAAATGGCTATAATGAGCTAGACATGATGAGATATTCTCATAAAAGCAGACTAGAGCATCTTATAGCTCGAGAAATGTCGCATCAAACAGTTATGGGGCCAAAGGCTTAAAAATACAAGGTATCTTCATAACAGAGCAACTTTATGGTCGCATGGCTTGAGCAACATCAAAACATATGGTTATATAAAGCCGAAGGCATCAAAAGACAAGGTGTTCTCATAATAGAGCTAGTCGTGTCATATGACTTGAGATACATCAAAATATAATAGCTAAAGAGCTAAGGACATTCTCGCGGAAGAACCGACTGAAAAGTTGTATGGTTTAAGAGACTTCAAAGCTAAATGACTACAAAAACCTGACGTGCCTCAAAACGATGTCTTATCATCAATGGTCGACCAAGCGAAGGCACTAGTTCAATTGATCAGAACATCAGGTCATCAAGGTGGTATGTATCCTGATGCGCCCCTAATTTGTGTTGTTTTACTGCATGTTCTATGTCAATTTAATTCCACTATGACGACGTAAAAAACTTGACCCGACTCGAAGTTACGCAGTAATTTAGCTTTAAAAAATATGGCAAAAAACTTGACCCAATTTATATTAAGTATTTAATGTGCAAAATTTTAATGTTATATAAAATATATAAATTAATTCACACACTATGGGTTCTATGCAATTGCACGCATCGTTTCAAGTAATATAGGGCTTTCCTTAAAAACCTAGCATCGATCTCACGAAGATGCGAGGTAAGAGGTCCTTAGTCAAATTCTAGTCTACTACAATTAGTCATTAATTTAGAAGATCGATTTAAGTGATTTTTCTAACAAGTACTCCTAAATGTTAGACTTAAGTTTAAAAAAACTAATAACTATTCTTAAATAAAAATATTAATTCTAAAGATAACCATTTTTGAATGAATTGATTTAAAGAATTTTGAGATATTAAAAACTGTTATTCTTATGTAGTGGATTAGATAATGTAAAGGAATGAGATACATTAAATATTGTATGTGCTAAATAGGAGCAATTTTAATTATCTATCCTTAGTCAAGTGTTATAGAGAATCGTTGGCTAATCTTAGGTTTAGTCTCTAAATATGTGGTTAGGCTGGGAGGATACTGGCTCTCACTCCAGAACTCCCACTTCCCTTCCCTTGAAGGTTAACTCTCGCTTTAATTCTTAAACAATAAGACCAAATTGGGGATTTTAGTCTGT